TCCTGCTCCAGTGCCCCTGTCCTGTCGACCTTTATATTGGGATGGTAGGTAGGGAGCTAGAAATCAATTGTTTGGCTTCCAGCATGTGGAAAGTGCTCTCCTGCACTAAGAGCATCTTCCTCCATGTCTGGGAGCTCCTCGCTATCAACATCATTTGTGAGTGGCTGCAGTGCTCTCTGTGCCATCACTCTTTGCCCAGAGACTGATCAGCTTTGCACAGGTCTGGCCCCTGCCTCTCTTTCCTCCTGCAGAGACTCCTTTCTTACCCACTCATTTTTCTTCCTCAATCCCATAAAGCAAGGGGCCTGTGCTCTCACACCGTGCTGCCAGTGGCTTTCCCCAGCTGCTGGGTTGCCCTGGTCAAGCTAGGGCTGTGTGCCTCAGGGAGACATTCTCATGTCTCCATCCTGTCATCCCTGCTTTTAATATTGTCTTTTTTTCTCCTCTCTTTCCACCACAGGGACATCCTGAAAAGTGGAGGCACAGCTGTGGATGCTGCCATCGCTGGCTTGATCTGCACCTCGGTGATGAACCCTCAGAGCTCAGGACTGGGTGGTGGGGTCACATTCACCATCTATAATGCCAGCACAGGTATGGGCAGTTCTGGCCTCTCTGTGGTATCTGACCTCCCTGCAGCTACCATGGAGAAGTCAGAATTTCTCTCAGCAAATTTTTTTACTATAATGTTGCATCCTTTTGTCACAAATCACACTTCTGCTCTGAACCCAAAGCCTCTGTTGTCACAGGGCATGCAGCTACTCACTGCAAGAACAAGAGGCAGGGGAGAGGGAGCTTTGGTGAGACTTCCTGTCCTGGGAGATGCATTTTCCCTTCAGAAAACTAAGCCCAGCAATTCTCAGTGCCTGCTGGGAAGCCCTGCTGTGTTTGGCTTAACCCCTAGTGTTGTATTCTTGCTTTTATACCTTTAATGTGTTTTTTTAATTTAACTGCCTTGGCTCCCAAAAGCCCCCAGAGCTTACAGATCTAAATATTAAAATCAACAATGAACACAATAACAGTACTGTAATTTTAAAAACCCTGCCAAGTAGTCTTACAGAGTCACGAGTCTGGAAATGCTGGTCTGCTGTATCTTAGGCAATAGAACTATTTTTGCAAAAGAGCTGTATTTTTATTTTTTCCCTTTTGGCACAGCCACGTAACTTTGTTTCCTACTAGCAGTCTTCTGCTAACCTGCATTATCCTGCTGCAGGGAGCCACACGTGGCCAAGCACAGCTGGGTACACTAGGCAGTACTGTGGGCTGCTGCAACAGGAAAAGAGAACTACAGGGCAGAGGAGGAGGTAAAATAATAGGCTAGACCTGAAATATGGGTATATATACAAGTGGGTTTGGTGGTTTGGTGTTGGTTTGTTTTTTAATACATAGAGGGTCTTTCAGTACCACCACCGTGCTTACAGTCCTGATGCGTCACCATCACTTGGCCCACCAAAGAGCATGGGCTCATGCTCTGCCTCTGATATGTCCCACCTGTAGAGGAAATGTAGGAACTTGCAAATCTGATGTGAAGCAGCATGTCCCAGCCCACATCCCAGAGCCCTGGGGAGGGGGGGGGGCAACACCTTAACTGGCTGGAGACAGGACCTGGCCTGTCCCTTTGTTGCCTCTAGGTAGACACTGCTCAGTTTGCTCTTAAAGAAAAGCTTGGGAGCAAGGACAGTGTGTGTAGCCTGGCCCTGCCAGCCTGTTTGACACATTTGGCAAAGGATTTCAAGGCAGCTCAGCACGGTGCCACTGGCTCCAGGTGAGCAGCCTGTGGTGTGCTCACAGTGTTGAAGTGTGATCTTCACTTGCCTCAGGAAGACTGACATATACTTCCCCTTCTTCTTTCTAGGAACAGTGGAAGTGATCAATGCCCGTGAGACAGCTCCACGAGTGTTTCCTCACAATCTGGTGTCTGGCTGTGCTGCTCCTTACCTCATTGGTAAGGACACAGTCTGCATTTGGGGTGGGGCAACCTTGCTGACTTTATCTGAAGTTCTGTTTAATTGCTTATGCTATTCCCTAATTAATTATTTTACAAAAGCAGGAAAAAAATACTATATGTATAAATTTCTGATTAATAGTAACACTGGCAACCTGACTTGTGAGGGGGTGGGGAACACAGCATGAGAAGAGATCACAAACTAATTTCTCTTCAGAGGAAGTCTGTGTTTCAAGACCAGATTTCCCAAGGCACTGATTTCCCAACAGTTCTTACACAGAAGCGTAAAGGCAAGAGTTGCTCAGACTTCCTGGAAATGAAATAAACCAATTTGCTTATGTCCCTACATCAGGGGAAGTAACCTGGCAGCATCAGGAGTTGAGTTGTTGAGCTCCAGTTTAGCTCAGCTACCACCTTGCTCCCATCCCAGGAGGCTCCATGTCTATGTTACTGCTTTGGCAACAGGAACTCTTACTTCAACAGCACATCTTGGATCTCTCCACATTTCTTGCTGCATTCATTCTCCTTCCCTAGCTCACTGTCTTTTGGAGCATGTCCTAGTTCTTGGAAGAGGTGTTCTTATCCTTGGAAGAAGAGCCTGAAAAGGAATCAGGAACTACGGTTGGAGAAGCTGGAGATCTCCATTCCAGGTCCTGGTCAAAGCAGAGTGATGTCAGAGCTACCTCAGGCTGCTTGGGCCCCTGTCCCATCACATTTTTTTTAACTTCTCTAAGGATGGAATTTCACAGCATCACTTGTTCTCGTATTTGACCAGGCTCCAGATGGCTGCTTCTTCTCTTCTGTCCAGCTTGCTGCCTTGCTCCCTTGGTGCAACATCTGCCTGCTGCCTCTTGTGCTATCACCATGCGCCTCTAAGCCTGGCTCCAGCTTCACTGCACTCCTTCTGTGAGGCAGGAAAAGGAATATATGAGCAGGAAAAAGAAAGACAAAAACCCAACCCAATGCTGCTTCTAGAAGCCTTAGTCCTGCCTGTTCAAATCCACACTTCACTGGAGTGGTTTCAGAGAGGTGACCCCACAGGCCAGTGATGCTGGGTGTGACACTGCCCTTCTGCACTGCAGGTCCCCGCTGGATTGCTGTGCCAGGAGAACTCCGTGGCTATGAAGAAGCCCATAAGCGACATGGCCGCTTACCATGGAAAGCCCTCTTTGAGCCAACCATCAAACTTCTTTCCAAGCCACTTGTCATTTCCCCAGTTTTGGACAAAATGATCCATCACCCATACTTCTCGGATCTAGGAAAACGCCTGTGGTAAGAGCCATGAATTAAACTCCGGTGTGAGGACCACTGTTCCCTCAGCTTCACACCCTTCTTCTGCCATGGAGCACAGGCTGCTGCTGTGGCTTCTGCTCAGTAAATACTTGCTATAAGTGGTTTTTTTCCTGTCAGCAACTTTTTTTTTTTTTTTTTCCAATTTAGAGAGGCTTGGCACAGCAAAACTGTCTGCTAAGCACATCTGCTCATGAAGGGGAGCTGGCTGTACATGACCTGCCTCTCTGTCTGTGTGGAAATCATCCCTGGCCAGCAGGGCCCTGCAGCAGACACTTGTCTGGAGAAGCCCTGCTGAGCTGGGCCAGGGTCAAAGCATTAGGGCCTACAGAGGAAACTTTGGGGAAGGAGTGGCTGGTGCTGTGGGCACCAGTCAGCTGAGAACTCTTCTCCATACAGGCTGCAGTGTAGCACTGGCTTGGGCAGCAGTTGGTGTGCACAAACCACAGCAGCTTTGGGAAGGAAAAGGAGATGGGCCCTGGGGACAGAATAACCACATGCTGTAAACTGATGGGGTTTCTTCTTTAACAGCCCACTGATATGTGATGGTGGAAGGTTTTTGAAGCGTGGAGAGACCTTCAGGTGGCCAGTGCTGCAGCGGACACTGACAGCCATAGCGGAAAGCGGAGCTGCAGCGTTTTATGAGGGGCAGATAGGAAAGGCCCTGGTGGAGGACATCAGGAAGGCTGGTAGGTAACAGCTACAGATAGTATTAACAGACAGGCCCTTCCCAGCACTTGTGAGTCAGCACCAGGGGAAAGCCACCACATGCCATTTGCTTGCCACTTGGGGTGGTACCTGGCATGGAAAGGGGCCAGCTTTCCCCAGTTCTTATAACTAACTGGGCCCAGAAGCATGGCTGAGAGTAGCCTCCTGCTCTGGTGTTCACCGACACTGCTCATGCACTGGCCCCTCTGACTCCCTCAGAGCTTTGTCATGTCCTGATGTTTTGACACATGGAGACATTGCTGGCTATGGTGAAAGAAATGTAGAGTATAAAGGGATGGCTCTTCACAAGCTTTACCAAGGCTCTGATGTAGTCAGTCCATAGCACCTAGCAGAAGTGCTACCTGTCTGGTTTTCTGTTCAAGGGTCCAGTATCTCACTAGAGGACCTTAAAGAATACAAAGCAGATGTGTCCCCAGCTCTGAACATTACCCTGAACAATCACACCACGGTGTTTTCTCCTGGACCACCCATGGGAGGTGCTGTGCTCATGTTCATCCTCAAGATACTGGAAGGTAAATTCCTAAGGGAAAAGGGGCAAGAGGCTTGCAAAGTGTGTTGCTCTACAGCAGCAGCGAAGTAGAGGCAAGAAATGGACTTGGTGAGTCAGAATGGGACTCAAAGCAGCAGTGCAGCCATGCTGTACAGCAGGGGGGACTCATTAATGCAATGCAGCTGTGTCACCATAGCTGCTGCAAAGGTCAAAGGATACAGGACCTTCCCAAAGCTTTAAAAGAAATTTAAGTCACAGTGGAAATTAGTACTTGGTAATTTCTGTGCTCACATCCTGCTAAAGCACAGGGGAAACTTGATAAGAATTAGGGTGGGATAAGTGGGTTCCTTTCAACTTTTTTTTACAGTTCTTGAAAAAAACATTGCCTTGGGTCTATTAACAAAAGTATTTCATCCTGCTCTGTAGATTATAAACTCCATGAAGCATCACTGGCGAACCCCAGGGAGAGGGTGGAAACCTACCACCTCATTGCAGAGGCTCTGAAGTTTGGCAATATGCTAAAGCCACTTATGAGTGACCCAGCCTTCTCTGAAGCTCAGGTGAGATGGCACAGTGCAAAAGAGCAGCCAGAGACACCCACAGCTCTGGCAGCTTCTCCTATCCTGCTGCTGGACAGGGAGGAAGCAGGGAAGTCCATTTCCTACTTTAAAAAAAAACAACAACAACAAACCAACACCTGCATTGTCACCAGCTCATTTTAGCCTTTGTGCTAAGCCCTCAAGCAGGCTTCCTATTGCCCAGACTGTCCTGCCTGCCAGCACAACACTACTGTACCAAGTGATGCTCTGACACCCTCCTGCTTTGCAGCCAGGCGTAGAACTGCTGCTGGCCAAAAGCAGTGCTGCTTAGCTGGCCAGGGCAGCAGCAGGCTTAGGCCAGTTACTGTCTGCAGTTTCTGCTCAGCTGCAAAGGTGGTGCTCACTTGCCTGGTAAGAATATGCACATGCTCATGCCAATGCTGAGGTGTCTCAGTACTGAGCCGGTTTTATTCTGTGATGACAGCGATGACAGCAGCCTGGGGGCTCAGGCTGGGGCCAAATACTGCCTGTGCTAGTCCTGAGCTCTGACTGTGGGGGCTGAATCCCCTCCCCCAGGCTTCCTTGTGCCCAAAAACATACATGTGCTTTGGTGACACAAGCTCAGCGTCCTTGCTGTGACTGCAGGTGACTGTGAGGACCATGCTGTCTGACAAGATCACCAAGCTTGCCAGAAGCCGAATAGATGACAAGGGTGACCATCCTCTCAACCACTACAACTTGTTTGAGTCCATCTACACCAGCAGATACAAAAGTAAGGGCACAAGCCACATCTCTGTGCTCGCTGCGGATGGCAGTGCTGTGTCCGCCACCAGCACCATCAACTACCCGTGAGTAGCCAAGGGGTTGGTAACCGAGTCACGCAGGCCATGTATCAGCTTCACAGGGAACCTGCAGAGACTCTTTACCAGAAATGCAAAACCTTTGGGCCTCACAGATTTAGGCAGACTCTTACTTGTGAATGCCTTTTTCATGTGACAGCAAAAGTCTTTAGCATCAGTCCAAAGGAATGTCACAGGTCACAAAGATGCAGCAACTTGCTGAGCTCTGCTGAGTTTCTGTGAGCTGGGCAAATCCCCACATCCGTTACTAACAGGGAGCTTGTCCCTGGCTCCAGCACATCAGCACAAAAACCTTTTGGACGCCTTGGCTGGGGCAGTTGTTGGCTGGGAGGAGATAGGGATAACCCACAGGGTGCCACATTGAGTTAATGTCACCCATCATAGGATGGTCACTAAAAGGCTACTTCTTCCCTCCCTCCCCTGCAGGTTTGGCTCCTTTGTGTATTCCAACCAAACTGGGATCATTTTAAATAATGAACTCGCTGATTTCTGCATAGCAAACAGAAGCATCAAAGCAGGTGAGCATTCTCACCCTCAAAATACGACACAGGGCCACGAGATGGATGTGCAGGCTGTGTACAAGTGGGCAGGGACTATCTGTAAACTGCAGGTACTCTTCCTTCCTAGGTCTGGATGAGAGGAAGTTTGGTTCAGATTAACGGGATAAAGCCCTATATTGTGTGTCTGTGTCTGCTCACATAAGCCCTTCCATGGAAACATGGGAGCTTTGATTTCTCACCAGGGAAATCTTAAAGAAGCTAATGACTGATTGATGGGAAGAACTGATGAAGCTGCTGCTTAGACAAGCTTGTGCACTTTTTAGATTTATCTAAAAAAGTATACAGTTGCATGCAGAGTTGGGAAATGCCATAAACTTACACTGAGGTCTGTAACACAGAAGTGCTGATGACATTAGCTCTGTGAAATAAGCCATCCCTGATGCAGTCTCCCTGGGGCTGCTGAGAAAAACATCAGCACTGTGATGACAGGATTGCTGCTAATGGTTCCTCCACTGGGCTGAATGAACTGCAAGTCTTGAATGTTTGTAGGATGCCCTGTTCTGCACCAAGAGATGCTTCCTATTTAGCCTGTGCCATAAAAGTCCAGGTTTCCTGTAAGATGGGGTCTCAGCACAAGGAAGCTGGTTTTCTGGAAGACTAGCTTTTTTTTCTCTTCTTGAGGAATGAGCAGCACCTTGGTTTGCCACAGGAATTACAAGAAGGGTGAGGCAGATGAACTCCTGTGTCTCTCCAGCCTCCTTAACAGCCACATGTGAGGAATAATACTCTACCTCTGCTCTAGGAGAGAAGCCTCCCTCAGCAATGGCACCTTCCATCCTCATTTCCAAGACAGGAGACATGCTGGTGATTGGAGGAGCAGGCGGGGCCTGGATTACCAGTGCTACTACCATGGTGAGTGAACAGGTACCACACAGCAACACCTCCCACTGAGCAAGGGGAGAACACACTGCCCTGAGCAGAAGGACTTGGCTTGTGGTGCTGTGTCAAAGGCAGCAGTGAAGAGGGCCTGTGCAGACTCAGTCTATCCTCACCTTGCCTCTAGCAATTGTGTGGCAAGTACCTGCTGCTTCTCTCTGTTGTTTTTTTTTAAAAGAGGTTAGAATAATCAAATAGCAAGTTCAGGAAGCTATTGGAAGAGAGGTATTACCCAAAACCTTGGGCCCCCCAAAATAAACTGGTAAGTTATATGATGGGAAGAAAACCAGAAAGCCACCACCACGCACACACACAGTAACGAATCTTAGTGAAAAAGAGGTTGCCAACACCTGAACTGTAACAAACATCTTGTAATCAAGAAACATCAGTAATCAAGAAATTAAAACAGGTAAGACCATAAGAGGAAAAAGGGGACTTCTTTATTTTCCTTTACATTTCTTCAACTGGAGAGAAATGGGGGAAAAGAGTCCATGCTAGAACCTGATCTGAAAACAGAAAGGACAACCACCAGTAGAAAGATAGAAGATCCATCAGTAGCTACTGAATTCAGGGACACCATTTTGGCTCAGGAAGAGCATTCAGGGAAGTAAAATTGTGTGTTCACCTGTTCATACACTTGCCCTGGGCATCTGCCATTGGTGACCATGAAGACAGGAGGCAAGGCTAGCAGGACTTCTGGTTTGACTCTGTGCAGCCTCTCTTCCAGTCCAGGTTTGCCCTACCCTGCAGGCAGGATTTACAGTGGAGCTACTCTGGCTTCTCACCAGTGCAGGGGACTCCACGTTCTAATTCAGTCTCTCCAGCCAGCGAGGGGTTTGTTTCATTGCAGGCCATTATAAACAAGCTGTGGTTTGGCTATGACTTGGAACATGCCATTTCAGCTCCCATCATGCATGCTGAAGGTGACAAGATTCTGTTTGAGACACACTTCAGTGAGGTGAGTGGCCTTGCTTGGATCTTCTTGTCTCCACACACTGGTGAGGAGATTGTTTCTATAACTCTCCTGGATAATCTGTATTTTGCTTCTAGCTAACCTCCTTGCTTAAATCTCGTGTTCTCAACCTAACTCCATACACACCTCCTTCATTTTCACACCTGGTAACATCAAGACCTCAGGCCCCTGCCCCATTCACTCCATTTCCCCTTCTCTTTCCCCCCACAGGAGATTAGGAGTGGCCTGCTGAGAAGAGGACATAAAGAAAAGGAAGCTACATTTGCAATGAATGTTGTGCAGGGAATTTCTAAGGAAGGAAAATGCATCTCTGCTTACTCTGATAAAAGGAAGATGGGGAAATCAGCTGGGTATTAGCTAGCAATGCCATCACAACTCACAAAACCACAGGAGGTAACTAGATTCAGGATATGCTGTGGCTTGGATGTGCCAATGTTGCCTGTTCCCATGAGGATACCTGCTAGAATACACCTAATTCCAGCAGACTGCAAGTCACCCTCAGGCAATACAAGGACAGGTCAGCCAGCCTTGTTGAAAGTTACACCCCCCCATTACTTATGTGATGTATGGAAAATCATATTTCTTGAGCACATCAGCTATTCCAAATAAGAGAATACAAAGTGGGAAAGGAAAATTGGTCCAAACCCCACAGGGAACACTGTGAAATGACCAGCTGCAGCTTTCATTCCTAAATCTCAGTTAAGAGCAGAACTGGTTTCTTTCAGGCTGTTGCCACAACAAGCTTATTATTGCAGGGGCTCAGCGACGTGAAATGAGTAACTGGTTTCAAGGATCACAGGAAGGGTCAGGGGCTTAAAATCTTAAGCATCCAGGCTTTGGAAAGGGAAGAGAGCAAAACTCCACGCTGATTCCCATTCACACAGCTTCCCATGAGGTGCTGTGAATTCCCTGCTTTTGGGATGGACAGACTTCAGCTTAACTCCCTGGAGTCACCTCTCCCTGTGGCAAGAGATGTCCCAACCTCTGCCAGTTCTCCTTCCTCAATGCCTGCAAAAGTGAAGTCATTTGGGCAGGCAGGTGAGGATTGGAGGGGAAGAGCTGTTGGTTTTGGGAGCTTTAAAACTTCCTCCAAAGTGCACAGGATACATGATGAGAAGATTTCAGTTGTAGCCATGAGCTCAGCCTGGCTGGGCAAACCCCAGGACCGTTGAGAAGTGATACAGACTATCAGACATTAGCAGAATGTTCTTCTCCCATAGCCTAAGGACATGCTCCAACTCCCTATTTACTACAGCTGGTCTCTGGAGTTCCCTTAAGATCATGAGGAAGCAGAACTAGTTAAGAACCACTGCAGTAAGAGAAAACCTCTCATCTCTTGACTAGAGACCTGAACTCATTCACCTAGATGCAAAAGGTCTGTTGCAGTTACTCCATCACCTTGCCCTTGCTCAAAACAGCCAACATTTAAGAAAAAAAAATCACAAAAACTCCCCAACCCCAAAGCTCTTTTTACATACTCAGAGGCAAGTTCCCATGATCCCCTGTACTTCCCTATGGGCACAGACAGTATTGTGTGTGTGTGTGTGTGTGTGTGTATGTTCCTGGAAGGGAAGCCAAACCAAAGCAAGGCAGTAGTAGAGCCCTCTCCCTTCACATGTTTGTTCTTACCTTACGCACAGCCCACAGTATTCTTAGTACACGAACAAATAAATCCCTCTGTAAACACCATAACAAGTACTGGAGCACATGCTATTTAAAAAATGAGTCCACCCACACACGCCCTTGCAAACAAGGCCAGATAGGCTTTAAGCCTCTGCTCCTACCCATGAAATCTGTCCATTGACCTGCTGATATCTCAGCCTTCAGCTGCATTTTAATGATGGCCTGAGTGAAGCTGACTAGAGCCAGGCATGTGCTTTCCATCAGAAATTGTACACTAAGTACTATAATGCAACCACAGCTGTATCAGAGCTTAATGATAATGTATTCCTAAGTTACCAGATCATAACCACAACCACTTCATCATGCAGATAAAATACAAGTTATGTATGTATAAGCCAGCTCCATGCACTGTCCCCTGCTACTTTTGCCTCCAAGTGGAATTTCTCTTACATCCCCATGCTCAGTAAGGACAACTGTTTTTTTCCCACCAGAGCTGCTTACTCATGCCACAGAAGTGGCCCAGCCACCCAGTCAGACAGCATTGCAGTACTGCTGAATGTGAACAGAGAAAGGGAATAGGCCTAAAAACTTTGGGGTGCCAATATTTATGTTAATTTGGAAGGGATTACATTGAGGTTTATTGGTAGTCATATTCCATCTATATAATTTGCTGACGTTTTCTACTTTCATTAACTCTTACCTCAGCTACGAGTTCCTGGTTCCGCTGGTTTTCATGTCAGAAATAACATCCCAGTTGCAGATGTCACAGGGGAAGCACTTGGGGGCACCAGACACCATCTGCAGCTCACATTTCAGGACGAGAAGGACTAACTTGACCTCATGCTGGCTTGGGCAAGATCCACAATTATTTCTAGGTAGTCCAACTGAGCTTAGAGTTTACAAAAAGCAACTGTGAATATCACTGGCTGGAGACTCAAGAGCAGCTCTTGTGTCCCTTTTAGGCTTTGGGGCAGCCCTCAGCAGTGCCCTAGGCCACATTCCATCATATATTGCCAGCAGAAAACCCAAGCCACCAAGGAACTAAGCCTCCACTTACCTTCACTTCTGACATACATGACGCAGGTAAAGCACTCCTCAGTAACCCAGCCTATCACCTTTCCAGTGCACTAGTATCACAGCTACTTCCCACCACAAAGACATGGGAACATTATCTGTAGTCCAGCACTCACTGCAATTTAACTACTTTGCTACTAACATTGAAACTGAGCCAACTGAGCAGTCTTAAAACCCATCACAGCTTTAACATGTAAGACAGAAAGGAATGTGAATGTAGATCTCTCACTGCAGCAGAGACTTCCAGTCTTGTAGCCCTCCCTAGCAAAACATCTGAAGCCGAGGGACTGGACCTCCCTTAGAACCTCTGCTCTTGCTCCACCACCTCTTCACTGCTGCTGAAACTTGCTTGAGTCAAGGGCCTCCCAGTTTGGTCTTTCCCCATTTATGCTCATGCCCACAAGAGAGCTTTATTTTTGTACTTAGGCAATTCACATGGACTTTTAAAGCACCACTGTACAGAGGCTGCTCTATTTTCTAATGAATTCTTTAAATTATATTTTTAATAAAGTGTTTTTAAACCTGTCTGGGAATTTCTCTTCTAAAGACTTGTGTCAATGGTTTGAGAGAGGACTTTGACTCAAGTGTTCCCAGCAGGAACAGCTGTTCACTCTGGAGACTCAATACACTGCTGGAGAAACTGAAGGACTCTGCAGGAGACTCATGTACCACTTGTCTCACAGTTTGACTTTGGCAACTCCCTGTAGCCATGAGCTGCTAGAAGAGCCCAGCAGCAGTAACTCAAGCTGGTTTCAGAAAGCATGTTTGTCTAACAGTCATTTCCAAGAAATCATCTACCTTCCAGTTTCAGGGCAGAAGCTTTTCTGACACAGTCCAGACTACCTACAGTGACTGTAAGGTTTCAAGACCTTATTTTGCTGTGCAATAATTTTGTCTGTTTCTGAGATCACACTTGGCCAAGAAAAAGCTCAGGTAGCCCTAAGTCCCAAGGCCCAGGGACTTTCAACACTTGATGCTGTTACATACACAAACTTTATCAAAGCTTCCTAAAATGTCCTAAAACTGAGTTTAAACAGCAGCCTGACACTCAGAGGCATCTATCATGGAATTATAGGAAGCACAAAAGTCAGTCTCAGTTCAGTGATAAAAGGATACAGATTTGGCCCCAAACCAATCTAATTCTTAAAGGAATACAACGACTCTAGACTAATTACAATCACTGCCTTAGTTGCACCTAACAACATCACCAGGAACAGGTCAGGAAATAGGAGCACACAGCACATCTCAGGCAGCTCTTGGTAAAAGCCACTCATTTAGTGGGAATGATACAAGCAAAGTTTGACACTCTGATTTAAGCACAATCCAGCTATCACATTATTCCTTGAAATTAGCCTCTGCTCAATTCCAGAAACTACTGGCAGAGAGAGGGTGTCTGATGCCTAAAATGTCAGTCTCTCATTTTCTTGTCAAGGCTCTCTGCTTGGTGAGGTTCTTACACAGTGATGGGAAGTTTCAACAAGTGGAACAGATCAGTTACTGCTGCTTTTGTTTCAAGGATTTCATAAACATCTCTGGAACTTGACAACATCCTGGAACATTCAGTTTTGATCTTAGGCTAAGTTTATCTGATGTGATACATTAGTCCATGCTGGTAGGTCCACCGAAACCCTCTCATGCACAGGTACAGACACTCTTAGCTGTTCCATAGCAGATATGGATTTCTGAGAGGTCATCAACTGATTAATGGTAACTTACCTTCAAACAGGAGTAGCTGAAGTGTGCCTTTCTTTAGAAGTTTCATTTCCTCAGACTGTGGTGTTTCAGGCCTGCAGTATGATGTGGTAAAAAGCAAGCTGGAAATAAACAAGCTTTGGATATTTAAGAATTTTTTTTACTCATAGCTTCATCAAAGAAGTGAACAAAAGAGAAAAATCTCTGGAGGGCTTCTTTCCCACAGACTTTCACCATCCCTTTTGGTAGTAGGAAGTGTGCAGGCAAGAAAAATATCTGACTCCATATGTATTTATTTTAATTGTGCTCAGAGTTTTACAAGTAGCATCTTCCCTTTAGACCTCAACAGAAATATAAAAAAGTTTGAAGCCACTTCCCCATTTACCCACCAATCTCCAATAATCAACTGAAGTGAAAAGCAGAAACATCTTTTGTTAAAAGACTGGTGAGTTTGTGAAGGCTTGTCCCAGCCTAGAGCTGGGCTTCCTGCTATGGCACGGATCTATCAGGTTGTAACTTAGAAAACCCAGTCCCCAGAGTCCCTTCACTCCCATCTACTCAACAGGAAACAAATCTCTTCTCTAAGTGACAGGGACATTCCCAGTAGCTGACAATGTGCAAGGGAAACAATTCCTGCGGCTTGGATGAGCTGGACCTTCTTCAGAAACTGGGTACTCAAGCTATCTTCATGGGATGGAGAGGAGGCAGGGAACAAACTCTTCAAGGCAAAACAGACTCTTCAAGTAAGTACTGCACGTCCTGGTAGACATGCCTGTCTAAGCAGAGACTGCTGTGGCATGAGGCACTGCGGTCATGGCTGTAGAGAATTGTCCCAGCTCTGTCACTAGAACCACAGGTAAATTTGTTCTCTTTCCTGTGAGAAGTCCCTGAGTTGCAGACCTAAAGGATCTTCCCCCCAAACACACTTCAGTGTCACTAAACCACTGAAAAAAGGAGCTGAGCCAGGTCAGTAGCCTGCAGGGAAGCCACCTTTCCGGGAGTCAGAGGCCGCAGCCCATCCTTCATCTGTCCTGAGGATGGCCTGAACAACCGCTCCGGTGCTCACCCGCGTGGTGTCGTGTTTCCTCTTCTTCAGTTGCTCTTCTATACCCTGGAATGCAGAAGCCAGTCAGGACAACAGGAGTGAGCAACTGCACACGTGCTGTCGTCTGCGACAACCCAAGCGTTCCGTGCCTGTATTAGGCAGGTCTTGTATGAAACTACAGGCTGCTCCTCTTCCCTTTGCTTTCTGGGATGCCCTGCTTTTGGAGAAGTGGAATTGAGAAGCATTTGTGGTGCTCAGTGTTGGCTACCAACACTGCTCCTGGTCACAGAGCATTCTGCCTCAGATATTCATAAACCAGCAGCAAGAACTGATGGATCCTGTTTGGGAATGGGGGAAACACTTGTAGAGCACAGGGCATCCTCCTGGTGCAGGCAGATATCTCTACTGTTATCTTAATAAGAAGCTTATCAAAGGAGGATCTTCTGGATAGTTTGATGAAGAAAACTGTCTGGTGTAGGAACACTCTCCCTAATGCAGAGACATGGGATGAGTTATGTACAAAGACATCTGTCCCAGGCTTCTGGGATGTGCAATGAAGCTGCCAGCTCAGGTGAGGAGTATGCAGAGTGAGGCAGATCCTGCCATCAGCTCTCAGACTGACAGTGCTGCACAGAGACCTTTACCATGAACATAATTTGTTCTCAGGTCCCTTGCTCTCATCCTCCCTTACTAGCTCTGTACCAGCTCTTCAGGATTCATCAGGAGGTTGCACAATAGCTCAAGAGTTCCCCGAGGGTCCCTGCTGGACAGTCTGGAGCCTGATGAGGTTTGCTACTTTCCAAGTCCTTTGAGCCAAATTACATTGCAAGAAAATACCCATGTGACTCAGATGTAGGTCACTAACCCATGTGACTGAGACTAAAAGCACACTTCATTGTGACAAAATACTTGGCCTGCACCAGTTTTAATACTGCTCACCTAGGAACATTTGGCAAAGCCTCATGATCTTCCACAAGTGTGTGCCTTCCCAACATGAGGAACCCAACACCATACAAGAAATTCACACATATCCCAGACTCTAGCTAGACAAACCTCCTCTATTTGCTGCTCCAGCTCCGTGATATTGGGAAATAGCTGATCATGAATTCTGGGCTCCTCCACTGCTTTCTTCACATCATACCCAAACCAGATGGAATTGATGATTGCCTGTGAGAAGCAAAAAGGCTAAATGTTAGTTACTTGTCTTCAGGGACACCTGACCCTTGTAGCAACAGATGCAGGCATGTCTGAAGGATGTTCACCAGAAAGCACAGTTTCTGGTTCCTGCTGCTCTCAGAGGCCCCTCTCTTGGCTAAGCAAACACAGGCACATTGCAGCAAGTCAGCTTGTATATTAGGGTTCCCACACAGAGAGACCCTGACTTACCAAAATTAACATAGTAAAAGGATCAGATCCTCAAGCTATTGCAGTTGGGTTTATGCTGCTGAGATCAAGCTAGTACAGCTTAGTTAGACACACAGCAGTCACCTCAGCAAACATTAACCTTCCAGCTGCTGTGCAACCCATTTCCTTAAATCTGGCTCATCTTCACCTACTGAAATTGTGCAAGTGAAAATAGCCTCAGGATCAAGAGCTTGGAAAGCTGCTTGTAGCAGTTTTTATGGAGACTTCTCCTCTGCCTCAGCCAGAAAGAAGGATCCAGCCTGATGCTCTGTACTGCTGTGTCTGCTGGCACAGGAGACAGTTTTCTTATGCAAGCACTTCTGATCTAGCTGGGCCTTTGAGCGGCTGCCTCAGCTGCTCCCAGAGAGCCTGTCTGGCAGATGGCCTGACACCAAGCCTGGCCTAAGTTCTTACTTAGCTTCTCTGTGTGACTTTCATCCCAAGTTTACTATGTTGGAATGGCTCTAAACCAGATAGACTGCTTCATGGAATCCAGAAAGCAGAGGTCAAAGCTTGACTGAAGTTACAAATTATCTCCAAGTGGTAAGAACAACTTGCCAAAGGAAAAGATCTGGAGTCACTGAAGGGAGTGACTTCAGAGGCCCTTTGTAGCTGTGGCAGGAGTCAGCACTGGAGGTTTGGCCCTCATAAGGCCAGGCAGGAACTAACCCTTCAGGCCCCTGGCCCACAGCAAGGAGCCACAGTCACATCACAAGTGGAGACTTGAGCCACTCACCCCAAACACTGCCTCTCCCCCACCCTGTTTTGCCTCAGCCTTGTCCCCCACTTGCCTATATTATCACATACCAGTGCTGTTGCTGTGGTTATTTTCGTTCCTCCAGAAGCACCAACCACCATCCTGACCTTTTTCATTTTATCCACCAAGATGGAAGGGCACATAGAGGACATTGGTTGTTTACCTGTTGGGGACACAGATTCAACAGAAGCTCAGCTTTCCACACGTAGCTCACAAACTGCCAGTTCCTGCTCCTTGTCTAAACCCAGAGCCTCAGTGTCCAACTTCCTGACTCGGCTCATGTGTCTCATTCAGACCCTGGGGATCCCACTATTCCTAAAGGTGCCTTTCCCCACAGTCCTGTCCTAGCTGGGGCTGCTTGTGATGCAGCTACCTCCCAAACACCACAGGACTTCCCTTCCTGTCCTTTCCCTTCCCTGTCCCTCTCCAAAGCAGAATCCCAGCCTGCTTTAGCAGCAGTGACACAGGTCTGCAGGAAGAAGTGGTGGAGCAGGTAGGAACTTGAACTGAGACTATCCATAGCTACCCTACAGCTCCTGAGGCAGCAAAGGAGAAGGCTGGACAGTGCTATCTAACATACTGCAGGCAGCTGCTGCGTCCCTCCCTCTTAAATCAGGTCAAAGGAATCTTTTGTAACGCCACATCCTTTCACTTGGTATGTCCTGAGCAGCTTGGGAAAGGATTTCTGGTTGTTGGAAGGAGGCATGTGCATATAAGAGTGTTTCTTTAGACAGCCTCTTCTCCTTCAGGATGCACCAGGGGGGGCTGGTTTTGTGTTTCTGACAGGGATGCCAGATGACTCACTTTCATCCCTGTCCTCTACAGAAAGCCCCAGACCTGGGGCAGATCACAGATGTGCTGCAGCCTACCCTGCAGACACCACAGCATTCACATGCAAGATAGACCCAAAAGGCTGAGCCAGGAAGGTAGTTTTACAGCTACCTGGTGCTATGAAATTTGCTGGAGAAGGAGGGATCCCAAATCCATTGATTATGTAAGGTGAGCTGAAGTCATCCATCTCATCATTAAATATGATGCCACTCACGTTGGATCGTACATCAGAGCCAAAGCTAGACAAAAAAAAGTTGGTGTAGACACATCAAAACCAGAGCAAATCCAGAAGAGACTGAGATGAATTACTGAAATTTGAAACCTGGGATTTGACTGGAGTAACTCCCCACTCCCTATCCATAAAGGATATTCTGTCACCCCTTGGGTGAAGGAAGCAGTTTATACTGTGAATACACAGCTACACATGGAGGAAAGGCAGCCTAGAGCCCTTCTGTACAGCTTCTCTGAAGGACCCCAAGGGGAAAAAAGTTATAGCAGCTAAGAATGGCTACTTCCTCTTCCAGCAGGGCAGTACTGCACTCCATTCAGAGGCAGCACAGCTCAAAGGCTGCCACATTTGGGAATGACTGGGGTTTTGCTTAGATATGTCAAGCTAGAGACACTTTCTATGGGCAAAAAGAAGCTTCACCCCTCAGCCTAAAGCCATACATGCAGAACACAGCTCTTCCTGACAGCGCCCAAAGCTGAACACTGCACTTCCAGGACAGCTGCATTAGCTCAAATTCCTTCCAGATGCCTGGAAGATCAGAGCTGGCAGTGATACTACTGCTTATGAGAAGATCCAGATGCAGTGAATGTTTGATGGGTCAACCCAACACGAGAGCACATATCTTGACCTCTGACCCAACCACAGAGGCCTCAGTGTTAAGAACTGAGCAAGCTCAGCAGAAGTACCATCAACAGTGCTACCCACCACCACCCCACAGAGAGGTGACAGCTCAGGGATGTTTTATACCAACCACAGAACCACCACTAGGAAGATGGCAAAGGCCTACATCATACAAGTAATGTCTGAGCTCATACTATTGGTTGATGGTGCTGGTGGCGGACACAGCACTGCCATCATCAGCCACAATGGAGAGGTGGGATGTACCGGCATTATCTCCAGTGTAATAAATTGGCTCATAGTAGTCAACTGGATGGGAGGTGTTGTCTGTGATTTTCCTCCGGAGACTATCAGCAAAGAACTCAGACGTCATGTTTCTTAATGCCTGTCAGAGAAATCCAATGAAGTTAATCAGCAGATCAAGTTTAAGAGACATGTAGTTATGAGGCTGATATCCAGTACTTCAGGCTACAGAAGAGTGGCAAATCCCAGCAGTGAGGCTATAGTTTTCCAGCCAGGGCCTTCCTCCTTCTTGAGAGATGGGCATTGTACCAAAAGAGCATTTTAAGCAGTCACAGAAGCAGCTGTTACAATGCACCCCTTTGTGTAGGAAGTTAATCAGCATCCATTATTGTAGATCTCTGGAAAGCTGTCCTCAACACTGCTGTGAGGTGTAGGCAAGCAGTGCTACACCTGCTTCAGGGAGAAGAGGAGAGGGATCAGCTTGAGAGGACTAGACCAAGCCAAGCTATGATCATTGCTCTGTAAGTTGCAAATGTGTGTCCACCAGGCTGGGCTAGGCTCAGATCCTGCTGCTCTTGAAGAGTTGCAGAAGTAAAAAGCACTGAGTGTGAAGCTAGGAAAAGCAGGGTTCCTGCCTCACCCCTTCCCATCTGTTGCTCCATTTACTACAGGCAGGACTGGCTAGAGAGCCATATGGATGCTGAGAATGTCCTCAATGAATAAGTCTTCAAACACTATGAAAGTAGGTATTGTTAGCCCTAAATATACTCAAATGTTACTGGTGATCTGAGGATTTTGCTTTTCCTTACAGCAGGAAGGTTTCCTCCATTTATATCACTCACTGCTCAGCCGTGAGTTACACTGGACTTGACATACTGCTTCAGAGATATTTCAGTGCCTGACAACAGGAGGTGGCACAGAGCATCTCTGACAAAGTTTAGTCACCCAAAAACCAAGACATGTTCTGGTCAACCTTGGTGTTGCAGGAAAAAAAAAAGGCTTTTGCCAAGTACCTCTGTGATGTCGACAAATTTTGGATCTCCCAGTAAGGTCCTTTTGGCATAGGCAAAGCGAAAGGCCTCCACAATGCGGTGGTAAGTCAGACCTTTCTCCTCCACAGTTTTGATGCTATCAGCAGAGAAATTATATCCTGGCAAGAGAAGACAAATGAACATGAACACAAAGCGAAGTGCACTGTCAATGGACTGCCAAAAACCTGTGTCAAATGGTATTATCTTGACACCCAGTCTCTGCAGAGATGCAGTCACTTGATTGTCCCAACCTTCGCATGGAGAACACAAGAGCTCTGGACAGTTTGAGCACTGTGGAAGTCATCAGAAGGATTTGTACTTGCAGAGATGTTTTCCAAAGAAACCTTAAGTACAAGTTAGTTTCCACCCATGCAGATACCAGGGAAGTGCCCCAATCAGGAGTGTATTTTTCCTCTTTCTTCAAGTAGGAAGGTGACATCCCTGAGTTTACAGCAGAAGATGAAATGCTTCTGCATCTCTGATTCCTCCTGGAGTCTCAGACTTCTCACCTGCTGGAGGGCTATCAAGGGAGGCCCAGCTCTCTAAACAGAAGAAGGTGGTGACTTTGGAGCTCTCCCAGCTCCTGCTGCCTGTCAGGCACTGCTCAGTAGCACCCTCACCTTTCAGTATGTTGAAGATGAGGGCTAGCACTGGCCCACTTAGGGGGGCACTAGGTGTGTAGAGGGTAAACTCCCCAAGTGTGATCTGCATTGGATCTTCAATCACTGTTGCAGTGTAGTCCCGCAAGTCATCCAATGTGACAATGCCCCCTGGAAAAGAGAAGGAAACTATGGATGTGGGTTTACGTGATCTCTGATGAGGAGGAGATAATACTGCATCACCATGCATCACAGCAAAGACAGGAAGGAACACAAACAAATCCAAAAAGTTGCAAGGTAAAGAAAGCAAAGATGGGTGTGCAGGAGATGAATTTATTCCTTGATAGATCCAGCTGAGGCTCAGACAGCCTAAGCCTGAAGTTGGGCTGATTTATGGCAGCCAAATATCTGGTGAACCATCTTTTTTTAACAAAGGACACAAGCAACATCAAATAAATAAAAGTCATTAAGAGTTTTGTTTACAGGAGCAGGATGCAGCTGTTGGGTACAGATACTTTGTGCTACCCCACAAGAAGAATAATTTGTGTGTTCCATTGCCTTTCTATGGGAAGGGGGAAGACAGTAATTAACCATCACAAACAAAGCCAGTCCATGATTTACATGAGGTTGACTGAAGCTAGCCAATGCTAGTTAGTAAGGATAGAATACTACCACCATCTAGTGGCATCAAGAGATTAAACAAGCTCAGAGTTTACAGGACAATGTATGTGAGGCTTCATGTAGAAACCTGTTGGATTCAAGCTCTGTAAACAGCAGGTATCTACTAAGCTACATCCAGAAAAGCACAGCCTTGCTCCACTGTGCAGTACAGAAATGCAGAGTGTATACTCTCCATTTCTGACTGAGTTTCAGATGCATCCACTGAAGCGCTAATGGCTTCTCTTGGGTGTCCTGTTGCCACAGATCTCAGAGGCAGCACCTTGGGCAGCAGGCTTAGCCCACGCCCAAGAGTTCTGCAGGTCACCAGCTCCTCCCTGGATGCTCAGCCACAGCAGTCAGGCCACTCATGCTGTTTGGGACAGATGTCCTGTTTCTCACCTACACTGTGGATGTCATCGATGATCTGCTTTGCCAGGCTTCCTGTGTAAAAGGCATCTGCTCCTTCACTGGCTATAGTCTCGTATGTGTTGGCTAGTTTAGGCATCCTGATGATATCGCCCTCCTGCAGGATTTTCCCACCTCTGCAGAACACTTCACTAGCAGAGAAATGAGATTGAGAAGATCAGATCTGAGAGACAAGTTCAAAACTATGTGTACCTGTACCTGCTGACACAGTATTTGAGTGTTCATGCTACAGGCTTCTTGGAGAGAAGAGAAACCTCCTGAGCCATGTTCTAGGGTTTCTGGTATCTTGTACTGTGACATAAAATTGAAGAGTGGTTTCTGACCTGGGATTCCACATTGCTCAGAATTTGCTCAGTGAAGTCTGCAGGAGTGAGTGTTGACCTTTTTCACCAAGGCAGGCCACCCTCCCTACCTGCCCAAGGGGCCAACAACTGTCTCAAGATGCCCAGGAGGGGCCATAGTCCTTGAACTCAAGCAGTTCTGTTCAGAGCACTGACTACAAAGCTATGAGGCTCAAAGCTTCCAGCAAGTCCAGGAGAATGTGTTTTGATCCCTGTTTGTCAGAGCACTTTGAGGTAGACATTTTCCTCTCTAGCTCCCTTATCATGGATGTGCTGCTGTGAACCTGATGGATGGAAGTACAGGAGATAGGCCCAGGCTGTACATACCAATTGGGTTGCAAACCAACCTGCAGTTGGCAGAGATTTTAAGGAAAAAAGAGGATTAAGCATGATCTCCAGCAGGGCTGGACTTAGACACCAAGGGTTTGACTGTAAGAGGAAAAAAAGGAGCATTTAATACCCTTCATGTTCACAGTCATTGCCAGAAGTGGATGGTCAGAGGCACTGCTCCAGGAAGGCTGACTGCAGGGTGAGAGATGACCCGAATTTCCACTGCCTGACAGAAGATGAGATGTTCTAGGAGAGTCTGAAATTGTCCCCAGTGCAGGTAAGATTAGTTTAGTGCGCTTACAGCACAAGGAAAAGTGGGGATTCAGAAAATACATTGTCAGCTGACATTTATGCCAGCATGTACTCTAATTCCACCTTTACTCAGACACATGGACTATACGAGCAGAATGTATCTCCCTTTTAAGGTCAGGACTGAACGTTCCTAAAACTGGCCACATGATTTAGCACCTTCAGGTCACTGGAGTACCATCAGCAGGTACAGTGAGTACAGTCACTGGAGGGACACTCCTCACAGATGCTACATTGCACAAACACATTTAGCTAGGAAGCAGTTACCCCAAATTTCTCTGCACAGAAGAGCAAGAGCTCTACCTACCACAGTGAAGGATTGCTTTCAATTGCCTCCTCTCTTGATTTGATGGCTGCTGCAAGGCCTTTCCCAACAGGGAATCCTTCTCTTGCCAACTTGATGCTGGGCAGAAACAGGTCTTTCCATGCCAGCTTGCCATGACGTTTGTGAGCAAGTTCATACCCACGGATTTCTCCTGGAACAGCGATAGACCGTCCTCCTGGAGCAGATAAGGAATGCATTAGTTTTCCAGAGCAAGAAAAGCAGATCAGTAGATAGCAGAGCAGGCTTCTCTGCAGCACTGTTTTTAGGCAGGGGTTACATATACTATGACCAGCTCAGCTTATGCTTACAATGCTAACAGAATTATTCTGCCTGACATTTATACCTCCATGTTCTGCACTGTTGAAACACCTCTATCTTGCTGGTAACTCAGGTTTTTTTAGTCATTACCATTGAGTAGACTCTGTACCAGAGAAAAGCTGCTCAGAACACAGAAGCTATCACAACTGCCTGCAGTTTCCAGTCCTTCAGAGAACACACTACAGCAAAAAGACAGACTGTGCACATACTTAAGTAAAAAATCTTTGTTGCCACATCATGACTGCAATTGCAATAGATTGATCAGTATGTTGCACATATGTTTGCTTCAATCCTGTTTTTACTGGCATCTCCCAGAAGTTCCACACGCTTCTCACATCCCTTCCAAGGTGCTGCTCCTCCATGGTTACAGGAATGGCCATGAAGAGAACTAGTTAGTATTTTCTATTTTTTTAAATTAGAAAATACTTCCCTGAAAGGAAATTACTTCTCCTTCTCTGGAGACTCTGAACCAGTAGTTGAAAACACCACAAAAGCTATTTAGAGAGGACACTTGAACTGACAAGAACTAAGTTGATCCACAAAGACTTATTCAATGAGGTGGAAAGATAGCTGATATGGAACATGTCATGCTCAGGGCTTTGAATTCACCTGCAATTTCACGGTGTGAAAGGCAGAAAGTGCTGAGGTGACCAAACAGTTTGAAGGATAACTTCCACAGTTAAAAAAAGTCTTTGCCATACCTTTCAGAGAGAGCTGTGTGTTGTTCCCAAACATGTCCTCTGACGCGCCTTTTGGAGCCACTTCTCTTGCATTAATGATTTCCACTTTTCCTTTAATGACAGAGAAAGGAAGATAATGTTTAGCTCTGCACTCAACACATGGACAAGGTGTCTGCTGAAGAAGTCTGATCAATGTGAGCTAGTTTCTTAGCAATTATTTTGAGGACAGCATGTTCCCCCAAAGGCTGTGAGGGTCAGTCTTTTACCTTCACTCAGGTAGAATAAATCTTCAGATAAACAGTTCTCAAACTGTTCCAGATGTATATGGCCCTTACCTGTGCTGCTGCTGTAGATGGTAAAGAAGAGGCCCCCTCCAATGCCCATGCTGTGAGCATTCATGAGTCCTACACAAAGCAGAGCTGCAATTGCAGCATCCACTGCTGATCCACCTTGCTGAAGGATGTCCCTGTGCAGCAGAAGAGAAAGCCTCATATGGTGACATGTTACAGCATCTCAGCTACCTGAACAGTGGAGTCATCTCATCAGAGCAGCTATGACACATTCTCTAACGCACATTTGTTCACACCCAGTCTATGGGTTCCTCAGAAATAGGAAGTTTTGAGCTCCAGTCACCTTAGAGAATATATGCTAATGGTGGAGGTGCAGATCAGACCAGCCCTCTTTAGAGACACATCCAAACTAGCTTGAAAACACTGAGATGTGTCAAACTACATTTGGGGACAGGCATCCTAGACACATTCATTACACATGAGAAATTACAATTCTCTGAGGAGACAGAAATCTGCAGCACTTGCATCCAGGACTGGAGGATGTTTGACAAATGTTTTTTTTTAAAGAAGCATGAAATGCACCTCTCGTTCCCACTGTTCATGTCTCTAGGGAATTTTTTGCCTGAGCAACTGCAGTGACACTGGTCAGGCATGGTAAAAACTCAAGTTTTATGAAGGTCTCCTTTCTACAGGGAAATTAGAGATTATCTGGGCTGGGCAAGTGCCAGGCTTGCACCTGGACACGGGGGGACAACCAGTCTGTGTTGCACAAGAGCTATCAGAGCACAGTTAGGAGGTACCTTCCGATTATTGAGCACTGCCCTGCATCTGTAGCCACAGCTGCCCTCTTGTAAACGTGTGTGTCCCCTGAGTCAGGTCGCAGACCGAGGAGCAGTCCCAGGAGCAAGACAAGCCCCAGCAGGGCTGCAGTCAGGACTGCGGCCACCACATAGCGCTTCTTCATCTTCCTGTGGGGAGAGACAGGAACATCAGCCTTGCTGCCTGTGAGGCACACAGGACCTGGGGAGCAGATGATCAAGCACAAGAGCACTCTTTTCATCTACCTTCTTTCATATCCACTGTCTCCCTTCTACCCCCCCAGCAGTCAACAGCTCTGCACATGGAAGGGTGGGTTGGGGAAGGAGTGGCCAGGGGAGCTGTAAGCCCACTTCTGGCCTTGGCAGGACATCAGGGTGATGTCCCCTTTTGAACTGAAGTAGAATATAAAGAGGGGAGAGGATATTCAAGATACCCTGCTACTGTTGCCTTCCAGTGGCAACAGCACAACCAACTGCTCTTTGTGCTCTGAGGATTTTAGATGCTCAGCAAGTTACTGCTCTGCTTGGGAGGACAGGGGCCAAGTGTCAGCTTGGATTTGATCTAGTTCCCAAATAAAACCAGTAATACCAGAGAGTCTTTACCACACACCCCTCCAACACATGCTGGCAGGCCCTTTGCCTCCTTTATAATGGGATGGAGTCAAGGACTGGATCCTGCCCACAGCCTGGAGTCAGACTGGCTTTGCCAGGTGAGCAGCCAATTGTGTTATGTCTTCCTCCCTGCTCCACAGCCACACAGCCAGGTTGTATATATGACTTCTTCCCATCATTCCAGCCCTTGCGTTTTAGCTGGTTTCCATGAGTTCTGAGCTGTGGGCAGTGGACAACTTCCTCCTCCCCTGAATCTCTCACAGAGAGGGTCTCCCCAAAACTTCCTCACTTGGATTCCTATCAAGACCTTTGCTACAGGCATTGCCAGTACCATTTCTCTGTGCCCCTGCCACCTCTGTGCAGAACAATCATTCTAACAACTCTAAGGATTTTACCAGCCTCCCCTTTCCCCATACCACCATCCTATTTGCAGAGTGATCTTCAGTGAGCAGCCCAGGGACTCCTGGAAGCCCTTGGGTAACAGCTCTGAAAGTGTTACTGTACCAGCAATGAAAAGGCACCAAACAAGCAACTATCACTTGGGTAAAGAAGCTGTCTTACAGCAAGCAGGCAGGTAACCTCACACAAAAAAAGCAACCAATTCATAGGTGAGAATGGAAATCCAAGGAGCAGAGCTTAATTGGTGTTAGTCATGACTCACATCATCTTCCCAGGAAAGGTCTTAAAAAATTAACTTCATATAATGTACTTTTAAATACCATGTCTGTGAAGTAGTTTCTGTCCAGAAGGTTGTCAGCAACCAGTACAAAACACATCTTAGTCATTAGGAAGCAACCTCAGCCAAAGCTACTTGGCACAGCCCAGTATGAGCACAGCACCCCGTCCTGCTCAGGGCCCTTGGCCAGAGCATGTTGCCAAGGAGTCTGCCACTGCTGGAGAGTGATGGCCAGTGCTCCTGTCTCCAAGTTTCCCAGTCCTGCACAAAGCTGCTCTTGGGGTGCACGGGGTTCATCTGTGAGTGAGCACAGAACACCAAGGATCTCTCCAGCAAGCATATTCCAGATGTACACCAGGATGAGTTGAGAGCCGCTGAGGGATGGAGAGTCACTGCCACCTTGTTTAGACCTTGTTCAGGAAATACAGCTTCAACAGCTACTCTTCGATCCATTTCCTTTCCCATTACAGGATTTCTTCAGCAAAAAAGACCTAAATTCACTCTATTGCCTTAAGGGACCAACTTCCCCCTGTGTAGCACAGCTTTGGGTTTTCACTGTGACTATTGTCCCTGCACAACAGCCAAGATGCCCTTTACCTTACCAAAGTATCATCAAAGGCAAGCCAGCCCATGGCAATGTGGGTGTAGAGTGGCTCCACCAACCTCGCCCTCTACAGATGTTCAGCAGTCCAAAGCAGAGCAAACTCCAGCAGTCAGAGCAGCACTGGGTGCCTTGCAGCAGCAGCAGCTCCTCACACAGGGTAAAGAAGCAGTGAGTGTGCCAGCACTGCGCTAACTAGAGGAAATGGGCCAGCCAGACCAAAACTCTTCTCAGAGGGAGGAGATAAGCAAGCACTGCCCTCTAAGCTTCACCCTCACTCCTGTTATTTACATTAGGACATGTGTATTTGCTATCCAAGCCCTGTATCTTCGAGTCTCAGTCTGACCAATAACGATGACCATTTCCAAGAGATCCATTTCCTGGATCTCAATCCAGGGTGTAAATCTCCTGTATGTGCTGCTCTGTAAATAAATGTCAATTGAGGGCAGTAAAAGGTAAATGGATGAAACCTCTTTCCAGGTTCCAGGACTTGATTTACACTCAACTGTTTTTAAAAGAGACCAGTAGCGTGTTTGCAGGGCAACGACTGCAAGGAAACAGAGAAGCCATTATGTCCCCAACAATAGCTCACACACAGCCTCAGAGTTTAAAGACAGTTTTGTTTGTTGGCAGAGAGAGTTCAGCTTCAGCACTGGCAGTCTCCTCCAGGCTTCACAAGAAATGCCATGGGATCTTTTCTCTGCGTCCCAGCTAGGCAGAAGGTACTTTGTTTCGTCTGAAGGCTGCTCTGTGCTGGGCTGTCCTGCAAGCCTGGGATGACTGAAGGCTCCTAGCTGGTGTGTTAACCCTCAGGCTGCTGGCTGGGCTGTGCAGTTGTCCACAACTGCTTGCCTCACTGCCAGGCTCCTGTGCAGATGCCTGTGTCATGTCAGGCAAGTTATTCTTACAGCAGGAGAGGAGACACCTCAGATAGTACCTCTGCTCCCACCTTTTGCCTCCTCTCTGAATGTAGATGACATTCCTATTGCCTAGACCCACGTGGGGTTCCCAGCTGCCTGGTGAGTGCACAGACCTTGGAGAGGGCCCTCCAGCCCACCTGGTGCACCTCAGGCACAGCTTCCAGCTCACAGCCAGCCCCTGGGGCAAGGGTGAGACACACACCACTGGGAGCAGGAACAAGCACACACTGGGAGCAGGAACAAGCACACAGCCTCAGGAAGACACCAGATTGCTGGGCACTGCTCTTGTACTGCACTGCACATCACTATATGGGCTGGGCCCCTGTGGCCCAAGTGGGGTCAGTAAAAGTGAATGTTCTTAATAAAAGTGCACCTGTGCAGCCTGTCAGACTGATCTTGCTAAGGAAGAAGCAGAGGTACAAGCAGCTTTCCCAACAGTACAGAGAGCTAACTCAGCTGAGGATAATCCTCTCCACCTTCACTGCCAGCTCAACTCCCATAAAATCCTTATTTCAGGCCTGACCCTAGAGGAAAGCATTCCTGGCACAGTCCTTACTGCCTTCCTACCTGTGGCACAGCAGACAGCCAAACAGGCATTTATTTGCTGTACAGCAATCAGGAGATGGATCAGGAGTCTGCAGATCCCCATTCCCTAACCCACCTCTCCATTCTTGCCCTGTGCCCTGGGTAGGTGCACTGCAGGAACAGCTGGGTTTCTGCACACAAGGGTTTTTTGAGCCAGAGCTCTGAAGTCAAGTCCCTGCAATAATTTATTGCTGGGAGTGGAGCAGCAGCTTCCAACCACCACCTGAGCTGGCTCCCCAACTATTGTCTGCTGGGGCTGGCTTTAACCTCCAGTTGTCTGCCAAATCCAGCTGCCTGAACTTGACAGCAGTAACAGGTCTCCAGGAGAGAGGGGATATAAAACCATTAAAAGCAAAATTATTACCTCTTACTCTTAAAAACGTCCAACAGCCAATCCTAGCCATGGAATTTAAAATGTTGCCTTGACAGTCTGCCTTAATTTATATTAGGAAATGGGGAGGATCAGTAAGTAGCAGAGTTATGCTTGTAGAAGCAACCCCACTGAGATGTATCTAGATGTGTCACAACACTCACAACATTCTTTACACATGGCACTACTTGGGAGTTAAAAGAACCCCAGTGCAACAGACTAGGTAGGGTCTGGTAGAGGCCCAAAGGGCTGGGGCATGGGATGAGGAACCTTCTGTGGCCAGGAAAGTGCCAGGAGAGGAGAAAGAGAAGTACCAGACAGAAAGTAGGGGAGAGAGAACACCAGGATATCAGAGGATGACAAAGAAGCCCAGATATGCTCAGGCACTGCCTTTTCTTGAATGAAGTAGTGAAGGAAGCATCCACTGATCTAAACCTTTAACCCAACAAGCTTCTGCTTTAAACCCATCTTGCAACAGCTCCATACCCCAGCACACACTCCTAAGAGTTGCTTGTACTCCCACCCCAGCCCAGTAGCCAGGACTTGGCCACTAGCTTTGAGATCTCCATCCTTACTTTCCCCAGGCAGCACTTGCTACAGAGGGACAGACTGGATATCTGGAATATGGTCACAGGACACTGGCTACACTCCTCTGAGAAAACATGAAGTCTAATCCATATCAACAACATTGCCATATTTAAATAATTACTAACAACCAGCTGAAATAATGTTTTCACACTCTACTGCAGTATCTGCCTATATAGATCAACTTTAAGTGCAGATCAGTAGTCCTTGCTTACTGCTGTGATGTTAAGCCAGAGATAATCAACCCTGAACTGAACGGAGCAAAAAGTCCCTGAATAAAACAGGTAGTTCCAGCTGGCTTGCAGGTATGCTGCCACAAAGACAGATACTGTAATCTGAACTTGCAACTCCTCCACAGGCATTAGGTTTTCAGAATGAAGCCTAATGACATGTAGTATTCTGACAAATGCAGAGTAAACTCCAAGTTCATTGAGAGAGAGACAGTAATTTCCCCCTCAAAACAACTTTTTTTAAAAAAAAATAGTCTTTTCATGTTTTCCTGCAGAAATTTTAGCATTCAATTTTTATTTTATTTTTTTTAATTTTAAGACAGCATAAACTATGTCTTACCATTCTTTTTTGGTAAGCTATCATCTGATATATTTTAAAAAGTCAAACTGTTGAATACAAAAGCCCACAAAGCACTTCCAGGCTGAGGAGACTGGCTTAATTAAGGTAATTTCTAGTTCCTCCTTACCTCCTGAGAGTATCTGCAAGTCTGACATGTCCTTTTGACCAGATCTTTATGTCCTGATGTCCTTTGAAGAATCTTTCTCAAGCAGTGAACCCCTTTCTAG